GAGGTTACATAAAAATATCATTTGTTTATCTTCCTGTCGCTATCTTAGTCCAACAGCTCTGCCTATTTAAACATACAGCTGTTTGCTTCGTGTAAACACAGGAACAGCAATGCCTCTGTCTGGGCAGCATTGGTACATGATAGTTTCCTCACTGATTCATTTCCTAACAACAGCCACTTGTGGAGAAACTGCAAAACATATTCAACAGCTTTGTGCAACTTGAACCTATTGGCATCAGTGAAAAACCCTGAATTCACCATTAGCTGCTTTGCAGTAACCGTACCAGGGACATCTCATGAGAAAGGTCACAGCCTCAGTCTAGGCAGCAACAACAACGCCGTTTCCAAATGTGATGAGGTTCCTTTTTGTTTGCAGTTGTGGGTGCTGCATTTGGGATAAAAGCACTGGATGATTAATATCTAAAGATGTCAAATGAAACGCAAAAGTACTGTATGTACTACTCATTCATTTCTGTTCTTGACCGTGCAGTTCCCATCTATGCTACAGACATATGCAGAGCAACGTGACTGGCTGCACGTTGCTCGTCACGCCCCCTCTGCTCGCCTAAAATCGTTGCTGGCTGTAACATCAGAGTGAAGGCAGCCAGTGGCATCTCACCAGTTATTATGAAACAACACAACGTCAGGTTATCATGCTTCCTTTTACAACACTGAGACCCACTTCTGCTCATTTGTAAAATTGTGCATGACCAACACTTGAGATTGTGTGGAAATCCAAAAAAAGGTTTCAATCTTTTAGGCTAGAGCAAAGATGCTATCGTGTCAGCATGTAAATGTCAAAGGTAATAGTTGGAAGTGACCTCCTTCATGCACTTTATCCAAAAGATCATTGCGGTCAAACTGGCACCGGAGACAGTGCAAGAAAATCCAGACGGGTCTTGATAACACCTGTTATTTTAACATGAACGTGGAGGGTCCACTAAATGCTGTGGACCTCATGAGAATCGTTCAGTGGCCTGTCACAAACACAGAGTCCAGGCCAATATCAATTATCACAGCATAATAAGTAGAGGAATGCAATGCCTGCTCCACCAGTGTCTCAGTTAAACCGTGCTTGTAAGGGCATGCACCATTAATATTAGTTAGCTAACTGAAAGTCATTCATTTCAGAGGATTGCATCACTTAGCGTTACATTTTGAAATGTTGAACTGAACACGTTTGAAACCCCAGCAAACCTTTGAACAGGGCTAACGTGAACCACACTTCAACTTCAATATCAATAACGTTACAATAATGTTAGCAACATGTATTATATGTTATTAGTGAGTTATTAGCGTGCATTCGCTACAAAATTAACTATTGTTACCGTGGGTATTGACTAGTTAAGTTTCTCCTTGTAGCTAACGTTAACCGAACAGACCATAAATTATCATATAAAGGACAGCAGAGTAAAACTTGACAGCTAACTTGATAGCTAGCTTGACATTAACTTGCTAGCTGACAAGTAATTCCGTAAGAGTCTGCTGGACTGGGGGTGTTTTAGCTAACTTAGCTAGCTACACAGACACGGGGAAAAAGCAAAGGTGGACAGTATTTCTTTCTTTCTACTGACCCCGTTGCCAGCTGCAATCTGAACGATCAACTGAATCGCGTCTTTCATGAAAAACCTCCCATCTCCTCCCACCACCAGAGTGGCCGCTTGGCGTTCAGCGGGCTCGATGACAGAGATAATGCTCTGAATGAAGTTTTCCGCATAGTGCTGGTTCTGCTGGAAAACAGTCACTCTCTTCCTCAGACCGCTTGTCCCGGGCTTCTGGTCCGTGTACGGCTTGGTCTTCACTTTCGTTATTTTCACCATTTTCGATCCCCCAGTGAGCGCACCTATTAGCAGCCCTGTGTGATCCGCAGTCCCTGACCCGAGGAGGAGGCGACTGCAGTGTCAGAGTAGCCACACATACACAGCGGACAACTCCCCCCTTCATAGACCCGCCTTCTCAGTTTAAAGGGCAAGTAGAGCCCATGTAGGATTTCTTCACACTCAACAACATGGGATAGATTATTATTATTTCCTATAACTTTTGGCCCCGTCTTTGGGATTGAAAAATATGGGATAAATAACATTATTGTACTGAGGTTACCCAATGCTGTTCAGGGCCGTAACCAGGACTTTAGAGATGCTGAGGTTTTGAGCACCCCCTGCAACCAACCACAAGCCTCACATTTTAAAAAGTAGGCTTTTTATGTCAAAGGGATGGAGAGCATGAATATGCCTCTTCTATCTCATGTTGGAGTTATTGTGATTACAAGTTTCCAACTTGTAAATTGTGCTCATGTCAGTGTCAAAGTAATAACTGCAAATGGGAAACTCTGACTTTATACCCAACATGGCTTTTCACAGTATGGGAGTGTCTTAAAATTAAGCAAATAGGGATAACTCATGTCAGCCAAAGTGTCTTTGAATGTTATTAAATTCAAATGTAAGGGATATAATGTTATATTGTCAATGCACAGTACTCTGTAACACGATCAACTCTGTAATCATTTAATCATTTCGAAATGTTTACATGGCACATGTGAGAAGAAAGGAAGAAAAATGCATAGGGCAGGAAAACTTAAGTGCCAGGATATGAGCAAGGCTATGAGGCTGTTTCAATCTGCTGTGGTACACATCACTGCAGGCTTAACCAGTATATAGAAATGCAGATGAGGCCTCAATTTAATTCATGCTTCAGCAGACCTTTGTACCTTTAAGGTCAAGACACATGCACAGTAGGGTCAATGACTGCAAGGCTTGTGGTCCAGGCCCTATAGAAACTACTGTCAATGAATTAAATAATGAATTCTCTAATAAGTCAAATAAATATCACCTATGCCCTTACAAATACTGAGAGAGAAAGATATTGCAGTATAACTCTCTATATGAGTGAATTTCACAGGGAGAATGTTGTGAAATAGTCCACCTCAGGCCACTGCTGTTTGCCTGTTGCACCACAGTCTGTTTGATCATCATAAGCAGAACAAAGTTTAACGTCCTGCCATCATGACAATGGAGCATGTGAATGAGTGTGGAGTCTGTTGTTTACACAGGATATGTATCTGGCTATATACAGTGTGTATATGTATATGATTGCATCTCTCAATAGCCTTGAGAGAATGAAATTGCAGAGCATATAGCCTACCAGGAGCAGAGTACTCATATTTTCTGGCACTGTTGATTTAGTGGCATATTCATTGTATTGTATAATTAATCTAATTGTTTTAATTTTATAGAAAATCGAGTTACAGAAATCATAGTGAACTAAAAGGTATAAGACAAAATTAAAATGAAACAAAGTTATTTGAAAAAAAACAAACATAAAAAACACAACGATTTGAAATAACAGTGCAGAACGACAGTCCCACAAAGTAGTAGATGTTCAAATTGGCTCAGAACTCCTGAAACCCAGCTACCCTGAGCAGTCAAGTGTTACCAAACCTCTGTGTTGGGAGAGGAAGAGCAGACAGGGGCTCAGGACATTAAATACATCTCAAATGCCATGTGACATTTAGGTAACGGGCTCTACTGTTTCAGCAGAGAAAGTCAAAGGGCAAATAATGACCAGAGAGATATAAATAGGAGGTCAAGACTGTTCTCAGCTGAAAAGGCCAAGGGCAAATAAAGTTTAGACTCGAGCGCAATGCAAAGGAATGTATTTCATTGCCAAGCCCAAATCCTCACAGCACCATACTGTATCAAGAGTATAGACAGTGGGGACCAATATCTGCAGAGAAATACAGATTTGATGCAGGGCTGAAAAAGACATTAAGTATTAGGAACTTAAGTACAATCATTTATTTAAAAGTAAAAATAATACTCAGTAAACACTGATTTGGTGATTAACAGGTCTCAATATCTATTGGTTAAAACCAAGCTAAATTTGTGATTGTTTTATTTTATCTTAATTTGTCAAATTTCATTCCCTTACAGCGATCACCTCTCAACAAAACAAAGGGAGCCAGCAACAATACAGCATATATCCCCCACCCCCCTTCCCACCCCACAAAATAAATAAAAGAAAAATAAATAAATGCATACCGACACACACACACACACACATACACATACATACTTTAGCTTTATAAAAAACAGGTATAACTCATTTTGAACTATATAGCTGTTCTTATTCCTTTCTCCTCCATCCACTCCCCCTGTCTTCCCCTCCCCTTATATATTAGTTTTTTTATTAATAATATTATTTTTGTATAATATTTGTTTTCTGAATCCTCTTCCATCTTATGTCAAATAGTTTTGCTAGATTCCTAATCCTGTGATTTATTATCTCCATTTTATACATTTCATTAATTGTGTCCTTCCATCTGCTTGATTGTGGTGCCTCTGGTTTCAGCCAGTTCTGAAAAGATATTTGTCAGTTTGTGGAGAGAGCTGCTGTGGTATTCTGGCAGTAATAATTGCTCAGGCCCCAGAAGGAGATTACACTGTAAAATAGAATCCATAATCTTATTTATTTCCGTCCATTATGTCCGTAAAACAGGATTGTTTTTAATAAAGGTTTTTTATGTGTAGCTTTAATTTCAATGTGAAGCAAGTCCTAACTACATGTTAGGACCAGCTTTGGGCTCTTCCTCACATCCTGCAGGACAGCACTGAAATGCTGAAACTGTCATCTGTTATCTGTCGCCTAATTGTTTAAGAAGCATTCACTTTTGATTAGCAGCTGTCGTTATAGCAAATAATGTCAACTGTACATTCAATTCACACTTTTTTAAATGTTATCAGAAGATTCTGTGTTTTCAAGAGAGCTGCAAGAAATCCAGGCTCCAGATTTCCCCTGAGAACATGCCTGTTTACAAGGTCTTAAAATCGTCTGCCTTTATTTAGTGCATTACCTGAAGAAACAAGACACTGATGTGGAACACAGTGAAGTGATTCATTCAAAAATTTTAAACAAAGACATCATTAAGGAAACCTGGGATAGGACACTTAGAGATTTTTATTTATCTACACGAGCAAAGTGATAAAATAATCAAATCTTTTAAAGTAAAATATATAAAAGCACAGGAAAATAAAAAGTTAGCACCTTTGTTTTGGCCTTTCTGATTATACAACAAACAGTGTGACAAATCATTTAACTGTGATTTCAGGACATTGTTCATGAACCAAAGTTGTGATGTATAAATGAATCTAAAACTACCTGGAAAATCTCTGACATGGCCCATTTAAATTTAAAAAATAATCATAATAAATATATAGTACAGTATATAACAAAGGAACAGTACAGATCCAGACACATGAGAAGACTTCAGAGAAGTCTTTTTTCTTGAAAATGATTAAGTTCATCATGGCAATAGCCTTGATTTTAAATGATAACCTTTGATCTCTACTTGTGTATTTAAAGTGTTAATGTTAAGGGCATTTTGAAATTCTCTACATTGACCAAAAACATCACAAATACAAAGCCACAACAAAAGCAGTAATAACCATTATCTACTGTACCTTATGAGTACTGTGACCACCTCTGCCATCAGTGCTTAACACCTCTGATGCATAGAACCTCTGAGCTGCAGGTGGGTGTGATCAAGCTGCTCTCCATAGGCAGGCAGAGGGTCTCAGATCCTGGTGTTGCAGTCTGACATAAGAAGCTCCACACAACACACAGCTAAGACTTGAACAAAGGGTTTATAAAAGTTGAAATGATTCAGCAATATTCCTTTTGGATCATGTTAGTTAGAGTAAAATTAAACATAACAATCATTTGGTCCAAACAGTAAGAATGTTCTTCATATTGCCAGTGGTTATAGAACAATTTCTATTCATTAAGTATCTAGTTTCAAACCACCGGTCACCAGTTTTTGCCCATCACTTTTCTGTAGCGATAGCCCAGGTAAGCTTTGAGTCTTTCATAGCAGTACACCTTTATGTGCAGGTTAGTATGGTCTCCACACAATTATAGGTCCAGTCCTGTTTCTCATTGATGGGCAGCACATGTTGGCACACCTGGATGACAGGACACACATGTTTGTATTAGAATCTAAAACACCATATAATCATTTCATTCCACTGTATGTAATGTATTTTTTTAATCAGAATGAACAATGTAATTGTAAATTTGAATGTAGTAGAGTGGAAACAATTACATTTACAAGATGAGCATCTATTAATATGGTAATATTTAAGACATTTTTCAGATTGTCAAAGAGCACAAGGAAAAACTTCATACCATCTTGGTCCGGGCTGGCACCTCTACAGCAAACACACTCATGCCTCTACTGCTGCTGCAGTTCCTGCTCTGCTCATTGTTTACGTGAACAGTCACTCTCTGGTTGGTCTGCAACACAAAGAGTGTTGGTTAACTAATGAACTCTTGAAATCCATGAATATGCACATTTTCATCAGCTAAACATATATACGTAAATAAATAAGAATCTGTGGTTTTTACTCATAAAAACAAGGTGATCTGCCTTGTGCTAATCTCAGGGAACCTACATCTTTATGTACCAACTGCTGCTTGAACAGAGCAATGCAGTAATGCGTACCATTTACATCCAAGACAAGCAGTCTGCAAAGCTGCTAGAGTTATTTAGTTAAATTGTAAGACAATGGGGAAATACAAAACAAAATAAATAATGAATCAAAATAAACAGTCTCATGATAACCAGGTGAAGTCTTTTGCCTGTTCAGTTGTTCTTTTGTATCACCGGTTCATTCTTTTAGAGTAGTTCCTGTTGCTATGAGAATGGATACCTCTGCTGCATATCAATTACAAATGGGGTGAATGGTCTCTAGCAACCGCAGACTGTAGCAGTACTGTACTAAGAGAAAATGTCTAATTCAAGCCTTGTCAACTGTTTTTCTTATGAAATATATAGTCATACTTATTATAAAGTAAACAAACACTCTGATGCTCCATGCTCTGATCAATACCATATTCAATAAATAACAGTCCTCTCATTCGAAGTTGGACTATCATCCCCCTGCTGGTCATTAAGGTGCATGGCATGACTGATTGATCACAGTGAACCAGGAAAATATCTATTTCATCTATTTCAGTCATCTATTTGCAATACTGCTCAACTGTGTGAGCACCTTCACATCAGTGGTGCATTTTGTATATCTTAATTTCATAATAAAACTTTACCTGCAGAGTCAAATAATCACTCCAACAAAAGGTTTGTTGCCCACCTTGTTGGCTATGAGGGAAGTGATCCTGTGCTCTCCTCGGTAGGTGTAGATGAAAACATTGTCTTGTCCCCTCAGTGCTTTGGCCCCTGTCCTGGCTGTGATGGACTTCTGGAGGGCCTGGTTCAGAAGCTTGGGCCCTGAGTCCATACTGAGTGGCTGGATTGACAGTTGAGTGCCTTCACAGTGTACATCTATCTGGAATGGACAAGCCTGACACAGTAGGAGGAAGGGGTGTTCATTTAATTACATAGTAGCATAAAAATGTCTGTAGAGATAAATGAGAATAAAATACTCGTATGTTCATAATAACATTGTGTGTAATGTTGTGTAGATTAATTTATTGAGGTGTAGATGTAAGCCTTAAATTAAAGCATATCAGTTTAACATCATGCCATGTTGTTTTGAGTGAAATCATGTGTGTGAATGTACCTCAACTAGCTCCAGCATGCGGTTGTAGCCCATGGCCTCCAGGGTGACCCACAGGTCTGCAGGGTCTCCATCTTTCTCTGTGGCCTCCATCAGGTTCAATTCCATGAAGCCCTGTCGTGTCAGCTGGTTCTTTCTCATATCGAAATTTTCTGTCCCTCCAAAAAACATAGGGTTATTACTAATCTTTGGTTTACAGAATGTGTAGCTAGCATTCCTATGTATCAGTGCCATACTGGAAAGGATTACCTTTGCAGACCGCCCAGGCATCCTTGTCACATTTTTCTCCACTGGTCCTCAGCTCGAAGAAATTGTACTCTTCCAGACTGAGCAAACCATTTCCATCCATGTCTATAACCTCAAAGATGTCAGACAGCGCCTCCCTGCGGCACAAAGGGAGCAACACAGAGAAATTTCATGCAAGATCTTCACTGGCACATCCTGCATTCATTCTCTCCTGTTCATCTTTACAATCGTCTAACCATTACAGTAGCAACACAGCAAGCAAAGCAGTCAAGGCTTTTGTCCAGCATCCACAGGGATGGATCAAAGCACAGATTGTACTAAATAATTTTTTTTTCATGCCAAAGTTATTTTTCTGATGATGTGTATGTTAAATATAAGTTGTAGGTATATGTATAAGTGTATTTCATATATACACATTAGTACCTTGAACATTAGTGTACAAAAAAAACTAAGATCTATTGGGTATCAATCAAGAGCTTTGTGTTTTTGTTTATTAAATATTGGTGATGAATGAAGTACACACACACACACACACACACACACACACACACACACACACACACACACACACACACACACACACACACAAAGTATATACAGTATAAACAGACACAAACAAACCTGAGGTCCCTGGTGAGGTCTAGTTCTCCAGTGTCAGTCCTGTAGACAAGGTCCACAGGTTTATTAGAAAGACTCTTTTTGCTCCTTTTCTTTAGTCTGCAGCCACTGGTGAAGGGAAGCAGGTAGTAGGTCCCAGCATTTAGTTCCCCTTTCCAAACATATGTCTGTAGGAACAAATGAGTGGCAAAAATACTCTTAGCATATCCAGGAATTTTCATCTGGCAGCTAGGGATAAATATTCGATAAAAAAAAGTTTTCTATCAGCACACAAAGTATCACTGGGAAGGGTTAAAATGTACCGACTGATATGAACAAATGGCAAAGTACATGTACAGCTCTCAATATACACAAACATACCTCTTTGTCTTTTGACTCAGTGAAATGCACTAAGGTTGAGTCTTCTTTGGTTTCTCCAGCTGACATGATAAAAAGAGCTGTATCCACTGTCATCCAGGATGAACACTTGTCTGAAAGGTAACACAGGATTGCAGGAACATGTAAAGTAAGTAAATCAGATTTTGACCTCAAAATCTCAGCCTCAGGGCGTTTTGTGGGTTATGATTTTCACTTTAATGATTGTGAAACCGTGAATATTTTAGCAAAACAAAAAAGGGAGTGGATTAAATAAATGAACAAACAAGGATTTGTGTATTTTTTATTTGATTATGCCACTCAGGCCTGTAATAAACATTTCCAACATAATACTTATTGTTTATGTGGTTGTTTACTTGTATCACATACTTCCACTGTTTTACATTCTAGATTTAACGGATTAAACAACAACAAAACTACATATTCACTGGAAGACCATATACCATATACAAAACATATGATATAATATATTAACAGAAGCTCAACCTCGATGCCTGGATTTGAATTTACAATTGTTAATGTAGATTTTCACCTGGCACCAACATGTTGAGTATTTCTCTACTAAAACATAAACAGGAGGAGTAACGTTCCACCTTCTACATCACTCCACGATCTGCCACTGCACGCTCAGATTTTATAAACTGAACCACATCCTCTTATTGTTTGTCATAAATTATCATCCACTGAGCTGGAACACAATCTAACACATTTCCTACAAAATCTGACCTGCTGCCACACAATGTAAAATTCAGTGCTGAGGCCAATAAACAAAGTCAGTCCTCTGTGTGGTCTTTTTGTTTATGATTCATGATCTGAAAATTACTGGGGTGATACTTTATTTATGTTACAATGTCACAAAAGCCTCTTTAAAACTGTGCAACTAACCTTTATGCTACTATAACTGTGGTGTAGAGATTAGCAACAAGCAGTCCAGCAGGCAATTAAAATATGGGACTTCTAAAAGATCTTCATCAGCCAAGGTTCGAATCCAGAATCCAGAGGAGAACACTACTAAATTTCCACTATCCCCAGAGGTGCTGTTCTGATCATAATTTCTGACCTCCCTAATAAGTGGAGCAAGCAGAAATATAGTGTTGCTGTAGCTGATAGGGTTATCAGTTTTTAGCGTTTTTTTGCAATTTCAGTTTTTAATGTGTATCATAAAACAGTGTACGTACCAGGTCTGAGGCTGAGGCTGAATGGTTGGATGGTTAGGTAGATGTTGGTTGTCTGGGGGACATGGAGCTGGTACTGCAGAGAGCTGATACTCCCATCATCCTCCAAGAAGAAACATCCTTTCATTTTACTGTGATGCCACTCCTGAAACAATGAACAACAGATACATCTGCTTAACCAACAGATCCACCACATTCATACAAACTTCCATTCATAGTGTGGCCGATAAAGCAGGTAAAAAACAATTCCTAAATCTTTCAGACACAGATCCAGTTCTTTGCTATTTTAAGCCCTTTGATATATCACATGCTGTATTTCATGTTATGAGTATCCTAATATATTCGATGATGTGTGGTCTCTGTATAGATCCTGACACATCCCAACAAACAGCTTTGCTGCTTGACAACAAAATGCATTTATTCATTCAACAGAAACCAAAACTAATTTGCAGTTCCTATTAAAAGAGGGATTGATCTTGCGACAGGGGACGTGTATTTTGGCATGAAAAAGTGAATTAAGCAGTCAATCATAACAGCGAGGTTTCTCACTTGATTAACAGAAACTGCCGTTGTGATAATTATCACTCCAACCTTCAGGGGGCATATTCATTATTTCACAGTTTATCTCAGCTCAGCAGCGTGTAAACACTTGTTATTCTCATGCTGATCCAGAGGAGGGCAGAAGTGCTACACTGTGTTTCTGCTGCAGGCTGAAGTAAATCTCCCTCTAGTACCTGATATGGCAAATTGGAGTCCATTTAACTTTGATAAATACAGCCTTTTCAATCTTGGGCCAGCGGTCATTCAAAACTATCAAGAGGCTACTTTGGCAATATTTATGAATCCTAATATTTCTCTCATTTTGAAATCCTGTTGTTCCTTTGTCTGGCAGCACAACTGAAATGAGACAATAATTTGAAATTGAACAGGAACATCAAAACAAGGAAGTTTTCCTTCCACTCATTGGAGACACATTAAATGAAAACACAGTTGGTGTGGACACACAGTAAGAGGACATTGAGGGCCACGCAAGTCTGGAATAGGCTATATATCCTTTTAGTGGACAAATAAATCACCAAGTTAAACAAAGAAAGTACCATAAAGACGGAGCATGTCACTCCTTTAGAGAAAAGCTATTTTCTCAAAGTATTTATCTTGGGCTGTGAGAGGCATAAAAGATCAAATCATAACACTTCAGTGGTTTGTCCAGACAATATTAAATGAGGGAAATTGCCATGGGCACCCGTCTACTGCTTAAAGACATCAGAATTAATGCCCCCATAGAGAGAGGGTCAGCCAGCAGACTAATACAGGCGCTGTCACCTGCACTGGCCACAGGTCTGATTTACTGCTACAGAGAGGGTCACATACACCAAACTGGCCACACAAACACACACACACACACACACACACACACACACACACACACACACACACACACACACACACACACACACACACACACATTAAAACTTGCCTTATTTTAAGGTATACATAAAGACTGAGAATAAGTAGTGAAGTGAATAAGTAAGAATAATCCTTACTGCCCAGCGTTCTATTCATTAAGATGCATTTGCATCCCACAAGGCACACACAGATACACATACACACTCACACCACTACAAAAACACAGCCCACCCTCCACCCACCACCTCCCAATTATCAGCCCATGGCAATATAGCAGCCAATATAGCGCGCAGAACTTCCCTTGGAGGTAATCTCTGGACACACATTCTTTTACCTCAATGATGTCTGGCCCTTTCCAATCTCAACATGATGCTTGGACTTGAAAGATGGAGCAGGGGGCTGTTATTTTTATTTATTTATTTACTTTTTTTCCTTGCTGTAAAGCAAACCAGGCGAGGTTAAGCCAAAAAGAGTGAAAACAAAGAGAGAGGGATCAATACAGTGTATATCTATCCACCTAGGGCTAAATTCGCCCATCAAAAACACTGGGCGACAGTGATACTGGGAGAGCCATGGGGCTGCAGGGTCCTTGTTATCATGGGGTCTCTCACATGGACTCATGTACAAAGATTTCCAGGTTTTGTCACTGATGGTAAAAACTGTTAATCTTTACGACTCATACTAAGCATTTTGCTTATAGAAGACAATAAAAAAATATCATGAAAATCATAAATATAAATAATTTTGAAATCAAGTTGAAACATCTTTTAAAGAGCAATCTGTCATCTAGTCATATAAATAATCTGGTGCTTGTCATTGAGTTTTATGGTAATTTCATTGGATCATTGTTTTTGTTTTAACATGTTCAGTGTGTTTTCTTGTTGACTTTCGTATTTGTATTAAGACCCATCTCAGTACGGGCTTTGCAATCTAGCTTAGGCTATCAATGCAGTGTGTGTGGCAGTAGTCCATCTTATATAACTGTCCTGACTAAAATAAATATTAAATGAACATTAAATAAATAGAACAGTGGTTTAAAAATTAGGTCTTTAACAGACTTCAGAGTGACTAATATCTATACATCTGTTTGGGTACTCTTACTGAAACTAGAATTACCGCCTTGTGGTTGTATACGTCCGCCAACCAGCAAAGTTACAGGAAATATAGTCACAATCTGACATTTATGTTAAATTGTGTCATAATTAGCATATGAATTTATGAGTTATGGTCAAAAACATATTTTGTGAGGTCACAGTGACCTTAACTTTTGACCTCATCAGTTCATCCTTGAGTTCAAGTGAATGTTTGTGCCAAATTTGAAGAAATTATCTCAAGGCATTACTGAGATATCACATTCACAAAACCAAAACTGTGTTTTTTAAGGTCACCGTGACCTTCATCTTTGACCACCAAAATCTAATAGGTTCACCTTTGAGTCCAAGTGAACATTTGTGCCAGATCTGAAGAAATTCTCTCAAGGCGTTTCTGATATATCACATTCACAGGAATGGGAAGGATGGGTGGACGGACAACCCGAAAACATAATGCCTCTGGCCCTGGCTGTCGCCAGCACGGAGACATAAAAATCTCCAAATACTTAAACATTATGACTATACAAAACGTAACTCCTAGCGTTTACCTGGAAGCCTGAAGGTTCTGGTATCTTGCTGGCCTTAGTGCTGCTGGATGTCATAGTGATTGAGTTTGACAGAGATGACCGTCTGCTGCGAGCAGAGGAAGGACGAGAGGACGACCGGCTGTCTGAAACAAACACATATCAAACACAAAGATGAGAAATCACAAGGGCAGATACATATGCTAAAAATACATGTACAAAATATTATCAATAAATAATGTTGCTAAAACACAACGGAGAGCTCAACTGACTGACTGACAGATTAAGTGAAGCCCTCCCCTGCCCAAACCGTAAACACAAAAGAGAGATGAGGTGCACAACATAATTGACACTGTAATCTGTCTTCTCAGAAGTCCAGTCCCAAGTTCAAGTGAAGATGGCTACTTTGCATTTGGGTTCCAAAAAAGTGTCATCTCAAATTCAACCCCATTTTAATTAATTATGGAGACAGTTTAAATCAAAAAATGGCATAACAGAACCCTCTCAAATCCATTATCTCACACAACTTTTTTCCTTGAATACTAATTGAAGCCAGAAAATATCAATTCACTAATGAGGGGTCTGATTGTTTCCAAGTCCGGGAAATCAAGTAATGTGATAGGCTTACAAGCAAATTACCGTAGCAGAGAATAAATAGACCCACTGTCATGGTATTTGTCATGGATCCATTTTGTATTGATGAGAGTATTTTAATCTAGAGGACCAGATTGCAAAGTGGACAAAGATGCACTGAAACGTGGCCTAACAAAAGCTTCAGTGTGAGTTTATATTGAATGTTGCAGTATTGTTTCAGCACTGGCAGTTCCCTGGTGCTAGAAAACTACAAGGACTGAACTAAACAGACCAATTAACAGAGAAACATGATGACAGCCCATCAACTGTTAGACACAAAACACCTAATAGATAATTTAATCTTGTCAATTATTTGTGAAAAATCAACCCAAATTATCCATGTCACATACAGTTATAGTGTATTTCTCAGGGAAGTGCTGGTTTATACTGACAAATGTAAGACCAAATGAACAGTCAAAACAGTTTTTGAGTTCCAAGAATAACCCATTCAACATGTGCGATCACGTAGCTTCTCATGTCAGTGCCTTGTTAAAATGTAACAGGTATAAATCAATATCTGGGAGAGGCACAATAATGTGATAATCCCGACTACTGTGTGGGAGCTCATTTGTTTTTGCAGTGGTGGTCGACTGGTCCCTCCTCTCTACCACCATCTAATCCCTCATCATCTCCCCAGTGAGAAGTGGTGGAATCCTCCAAATCAATAGCATGAACATGGACTGACCATTTAAATCAACCCCATCTATCTTCCCTCTGTGGGCCTGTCCCTGGCTCGCTCATCCAGGATCTCTGTTCTTCTCTTTCCACAAAATGCTGGTGTAAAAGTGAAAAAAGAAGATTTTTACACCCACCTTCAACTAACTGAAGGTGGTGTCTTTTACAGAAAAAAAAACTGTTGGTTCATTATCTATGGTAGCAGAAGGCTGCAGCTGGTCTTGAACCCAGTCCTTGCTTGTTTAGACTACAAAAACATATCTTTTTGGCAAGTGCTTACTCCAAAGCCAGAGCTGAAAGGCAACATTTTTCATCAGTGTAGAGAGAGCTTTTGTCAATCTCTTAATGGCAGAAATGATTACCCAAATCACAACACTTTACAGTCTCCTCCCTCCAAACAAGCTGCTCTAATTGTGTGGCAATTGTGATGTATGGACTGTCTTAATGAGGTGATTTGTCATAGGCGGGAGTGAAAAATCGATCAATAACAGAGCTATTATTTATTCATCAAAACTAATCGGTGAGGCGTATTGGGGCAATCGGTGTGCATCTTTGGAAAGAGTGGAGTATACCTACGGTATATCTATGATAAGCTGCTACTTTGGACGCGTAGCTCTTGAATCATACACCAGTGTAATGATATCCGCTAACTGAGCTCAGCATTAAATGATTTTGTTATATTGACACAAACTGATTTTCTTTTTTTTTTTTTTTTTTTTAAAAACAAACACAAAATCAGAACCAGTCTGTTTTATGTTCAAATGCTCTGGGAAGCCACATATCATACCTTTCTTGAGTGTCTCGTCTGATGTTTCTGGAGGCTGAGGGTGAGTTGCTGCCACTTGTACTGCTGATGATAATGATGCTGATGACATGGAGCTCTTTGGAGGGCTGTATGACTGGCTGCCAAAGTTCTGCCTCTTCAGCTTGGCATCAGCCTCAAGCCTCTCCAAAGCAGCTATCTGACATTGTTCTGCCGTAGACACAAGCAATCTGCAGAACTGACAGCAACAGGAAACCATAAGTCAGAAGATGATACATGAGCGCAGTTTTGAGGTAATGGAGAGGGTCAGAAATGCTTGGTTGGAGGTAAGCATATGGCAGTAAACAAAGACAAGTTTGGAGCAAATCATGGCAGGGTTAAACTGTTGTTTTCTTTTGCACTATTGGATTTTCTGTGTCACTTATTGTTTTGTATTTTATGTAAATTCAATTCAACTGTGGCAACAATAAGGTTGGGAGACTGCAAATTCAATTGCATTTGCTATTGTTGGTATAATTTTACTGTTTCAAAAGGCTTTTTTACTGTAGTAGTAGCCTTTGTTCTGAGGCTACACTGGTGCATCCATTATCTTAAACTGATTAACCATCTTTGTGGATCAGTTTAAATACACATTTTCACAGTCTTGGACACACAAGATAACCTGATGAGTAGACTATAGTAGAATACTCCATACTTGTTCAAACTTACTTCTGAATAGTCCAGTTTGCCATCCTTGTTAATGTCAGCTAATGAGAAAATGGTATTCACTTCTTCAGTGGTCATTTTGTCTCCTCTCTGGAAGATTCAACATATTTTTTAGTAGTCAAAACATCAGAAAAAAATATCAGTAATATCAGTGATCAGTGATTTTAATAATTTTATGTTTATGCAGTCTACATCTGTGACACGACATTAACTGGTCCCCAGTTGTTGGCGTAGCTCAGTTGGCTGATTGTACAACATCACTTAATTCACTCAAGATGAGCGAGTGTAGCCAAAACCAAAACATTACCTTTTGTAGCAGATCTGTCTAATAAAAATCATTTTAAACTACTCACAGTAGTAAGGGCCTTCTCCAGTTCACTGTGTGTGATGTAGCCATCACTGTTCACATCCATCTTTTTGAAAGCTCTCATCAGCTCAGTTTCCTCAGTTTTCTTCTCACACTTGAGAATCTCACAGAAGTCATCAAAGTTCAGTTTAGATGTTCGTGGGGTCCAGTATTTATTGAGAGTAGCATGGGATGGATTTCTTCCTGCTTGCTGGAGAACTGAATTTGATAAATGGGGAACAACAATGACTATAGAGGGAGCAAAGGCAGATGACAAACAACTGTAGCACAACTGCAGAGTTTTTTTTCTGATACTTTTGACTGACAGGTCTTTTAAATGTTATGTATATTATTCAAAAATTAGAAATCCCTCACAATGAGATGTTTTTCTGCACAATGTAACACCTGGACCACTGATTACTCCAAAAACTATTTAACAAAACAGCTGGTTAAGCCGACATAGCTAAAACTAGGGCTAACTATAAACTATGAACTATATAAGTTTTCAGTCTACCAGCAGAAACATGTCTTACACATCCTTTTATGCACATTACCAAAATGATTTCATACATTTGTGGTATTTGTGATAAGTGGGGTCATCACAAGACACTGTGAAACTGACTAATATTTAACAGCAGAGGATGGATTTGCAATGACGATCCACCTAAAATAGAAAGTAGAGCATCAATACTTGATGTCATCAGCTGATATCTTTTGCAGAGTGGTTAATAAACACTGAATTAAAGCTAGTGGCCAGTTAAGCTTGGGGGCTCAGATTTTTTGAGATATCAGACTCAGTAAAAAGGAAATCCCCATATCCCATTGATAACATCATGACAGCTAGCCTCCAAGGCGCTATCTTTCACTGTATTAGTTTCCAGACATCATATCTATAGCCTGATCCTAAGCTAATGTAGTATGTTATGGAAATAGCACAAAAATTAAATCGATCAAAGATGTATCTTCCCTTGACGCAACACGCTGACAGTCGCCTTGCGTGCAAGCTGTAAGTAGTTTAAAGTTAGCTTACCACGACATAACTGCTGTTTCGAAGCGATATTTGTCAAACTAGATCTGAATACGGCGAGGTACGCAGCTCTGCACTGCATGTAGAAAGCCTCCTCTTCATCAGAAGGACGAGGTGACTCTTGAAAAGACATCTTTGGAAGATAAACTTGACCTGTTACCGTTAGCTAGCTCTCTCCAGTTTAGAAACCAGACGACTGCCAGGTGTGGCAGCTAACTTAGGCTAAATGCTATTACTTTTACTTCTTTATCACCCTGTAATAATCACCTGGAAGTATGCAAGATACATTTTATTGAATCAAATTCGCGTTGGCAGTACCATTTGTCGAACACCGTTGCTATGTGCTGCCTGTTGCTACGTAAACAAAAACTCCTCCGTGTTCACAAAACACGACACGGAAGAAACAAATATCAACTGTTCCCGTTGCTGCTAAACTGCAAAGGCATGCATTTCACGACCTTTTCATCACCCGAAAATAGACACAATGCACAGAATTCAAATAAGGATTTATTTTTTGGATTCAGAATATCTGGTGCGTTGTCTGAGTCATTTTCATTTATCCAACGGTATATCGGAACTATGTATAAGACAGGTCATGTTTTACACGAATTGTTTGAGTGTAGCAAAGGCGCCAGTTTCATAAATTTGGAACAAACATTTACTAGATACTCTCATATCTGAAACGTGAAAATGCCGTGAGTATTGTCCACTGTATCTTTTAATCAGTCGTATTGATTATTTAATTGAAACGTATTTGTCCTAATGAGACTTGAACCCTAATTTACTTCAGAAATACTTAAGTAATACTCCTTCCTGCTGACAGGCTGGCCTATAAACTGCACTGGTTGTTAAAATTATTATTAGTTACAGCATTCTCTCGTTCCTGTCCGCTTTCATTAACGTTGTTATACTCTCATATTGACTAAATGGTGTGAGTTTTGTTTTACTGTCTTGTGTTTTTAAAAAGTCTTTCCTGGTAATCATGTGAAATTTCTGTGTGTTGCTTTTGTTGTTGTCCCTTAAAATTGAAGTGGGAGTTACATGATAATACATACACAAACTGGGGCAACTGAAGGGGCCTTTTGCTGCTTGGTGTTGATTATTAAATACTACTGCAGGTTGACATACAGTATGAGTTTCCTGTACTTCAGAATTGTGATGATACATTAAATTATTTGTGGTATAAATGTGTTGTCGCTGGAATACGATTCAAATCCACTGAAGATTCTGATAAACACGAATGGTTTAGTTACCTTAGATTATTTCTAATTAAATGAAGCAATTCATTGACGCTTAACTTTATTTTTACAGTGTGAAAAGATCTCTGCACATGGACAATGCTCATTGTGTAAGTAAATGAATAGTTCTTATATCAGGTGTGCTGACAGTGTAATCAATTTCCTGATCACCCATAGACAGCATATTGCTTTCTGGCTTTCTCATTTCTGTGTAAAGGAATAGTTTATGTCTGTCCAGGTTTAAAATGTTTAAAGATTTTTTTTATGTTGTCATAGCATGTTTCAGTCAATTTGTCTTTTCATTGTCCTGAATAGCATCCAGCTTCTAAAATACCAGTACCTGCAAGACACCACACAACTCTAACTGGGGCTGCAAGTTCTCAAGCAGGTGTGTTGACAAATATCCTTACAGATCTCTGAGGAGATGTCCATGTGTACCATATAACAAAAGCAAGGGCTACACATCTCAAACTGTAAATTTGGTCCTCTCTGCTTTGTCTTCTCCAAAACAATTTGTGAAGACCTATCTCAACAAATATGAGGCAGCTAGTAGTTAGAGAAATGGGCATTTGGCAAGAAAGGCAACAGTTAACTCCCTTGAACTGGAGTTTATTATCTGGGCAGGGATTGACTGAACTCATGAAGGCCCACAGTATATGCATTACTGTGAGCTAGGGCATTACTGAAAAAGTACATTTGTGCTCAATGACCTTATTCTGGGTACAGTAGATGATGATTTAAAAAACTATAGACTTAATATTTAAAGATGTGATCATCTCATATAGTTTTTCTCCTTTAAGATGACTGTAATAATGTACAGCCAGCTGCCAGCTCCATTCTCTGTAAATAACACGTCTGTGCATATTTTGCAACTGCATTTCAGAGTATATAGCTGAGGATGTTGTCCTTCATGAAAAGGACATTCTTTAGGACTATTTGGGCTATGACTATTTCATTTTAGTCGTAGATTATAATGTAATCCTTGTGTGTGAGTAAATAATACAGTCCCCTTGTCAGACCACAAAGTAACAGTTACTTGCATATATGCTGGTGTACTGTAGACTGTGGTATTAAGGTTATGGTGCTTCATCAACAGGCAAGACCAAAGTCACTGCACATGAAGAAGAGGTCCCGCAGACAGAGTTGGAAAAGTGAGTACTTAAGCCACAGATTTTGCATTTATTTTATTTTGTAATATTTATTTTAATGAGTCAGATATTTGTCGTTAGGCTTTTTCTTTCACTATTGACTCTTGATTCAAAGTCTGCTTAGAAGACAGAGTTAAAGGGTTACAGTGAACTCCCTTTTATGAGTTGCTATATTTCAATTGCCACACTTTCCTGATGGTCATAATGACATAGCAGAATTTAATGACAGGAGACATGGAATGACGGGGATCCATCACTGGCCAAATTATCAGTGATTTACATAGCACTAAAAATAGTTGTATAAGAGTCACTTAACACAAGAACCATTTCCTTAGCCCAGGCAGACATTTGGTGTCTGGCCCATCCATCAAGACAAGCATTAGTTTTTAATTTTATAGTGCTGTCACTAATACGTTACATTAGCTTGGTTTACAGTACATTCATAACACTCACTTGGTTATGTCATATTAGGGTCACTTGGGGCACAGCAGTGTTTTGAGTTATTGTAGAATTCAACATAAATTTAATTGTATTTGGGTGGGTAAAGAAATAAAAAAAATCACAACATTAAATAATGTACAAATTTGAGCTTAGAATATAACTACATGGATGACCTATACTGTCAGAACTACACTGGCCTTACACTGAAGCTGTGGCAAATAAAGAAATTATTTCAGTTAAAACTAAGCTGTCAGTTTACTGGGCCCACTAAATACTTTGTCTGAGGCAGTTGTTTTTCTAATAG